GCTGCTCAACGTGCTTCATCATCAGTTATTTTGAAACAAACTCTTTTTTTTCACCAGTAAATATTATACATATCACATTGTAAATAGTATCGAAAATCTCACGTTAGACTAATGAAAAGAGAAGATCGGATTAAATGTTTATCAATGAATGCAATAAAAACTTATGAACTCTCTAGTGTAACATCGATGATTATATAAAAAAACAAAATATTCTATACATAAGTATCACATAGAGCGATGAAAGTTACAAAAATTTGATTAATAAATTTCAATGCTAAACGAAAACCTGATTAAAATACTTTTCAACAAAGTGGTTTTTAGTAAAGTTGAGTGATAATTATAACTGCTATAAATAATTCAACTATACATCCTATTAATCCTTCACCATTAATTTTCCATTGTTCACCATTCATCCATCCTGGTGTATTCGTATAAATCGAACCTAGTAATAAAGGATTAATTCGATTCCAAACAAAATGCATCATTGTAGGTGGTATCATAGAGAATTGACACTGAATTCCAATCCATCCGTAAACAAATGCCGAAATCCAACACGATAAACATTGAACAATAATAGTTCGTATAGGATACTGAACTTTACTCTGTGAATGATACGATAATAGAATCATTACAGGTACATGATATAATCCCCATACAAGTCCACTAATATTCAATGCAATTATAGGATGAAAATAAATCAATAAACCAGGTAATAAATAAGATCGCCATCCTATTTCTTCACCTAATGCTCGTAACCATCCAAAGATAAGATTACGATTATGTTCATGTATTGCTGGAAATGTTTCTTGTTGACGAAATTGACCCCAACCGATCATATAATTCATCAAACAACATATAATTACTGTAATAATAGCTAATAAACTACTTAATATAGACCAATAAAAAGTTGACCATTGCGGATAAAATAATAAAAATGAAATATAACGAATGAATGAACCATGATATATTTGAATGCTTATAGCAAATATACTTGGAAAAAACATAGATAAAGCAAGAAATGCAAAAGAACGATGTCGATAAATATATACCCAGAGTGTAGTGACAACTAGCGTAAGGATTATATGAAGCCATATATCAGTAAGTGATGGTGATGGAAAATTTAAAGATTTCATAGTTGTCATCATATACATCTAGACTTATGTAAATGACGAAAAATAAAATTTAACTATTTTAAAAAAGTTGCGTCACATATAAATAAAAAAGCACAATGTAATCGCCATACCAATTTTTTATTCGTTCTACACATATCATTGCATATTGTATGTGAAAAAATGTCGTCATTACCTACGCAGCACATGTGTCAGACATATAAAATGAAAGAAAGAAAGAAAAAAAAGAAAAATATATATATATATATATAAACTACGGCTCGAACAAAGTAGAGAATGGAGGTAAATAATCGTTTTGAATTACTTGCTTCTCTGCCTGTAGACAACGAACCAGAAGAAGATTTTATTATTGATGAAGCTCCATTAGAACAAAAACAGGTAATAAATGATCAACAACCAGCAAAAAGTCAATGGGACATACCAGAATATGTTGAGAAACTTATTCCATGTTCATCTATTATTGAAGAAAAACAAACAATCTCATCTAATAGAAAAACAAAAGCACATTTACCTACTAAAAACGTAAAACCACCTACCGAAATAATAGATTATGAAGAACAATCAGATGACGTACAAAAATCGGAAATGATTGATACACAAACACAACCAACAACGTATACATGTTATCCACCTCAACCGTATAAATTCAAACAAAAACCATCAAGTAAGTGAAATTTTTATTTTGAAAAAAAATATTCTTATTTTCAATAGGTCATCTCAATCAAACAATGCCGAAATTTGATCGAAAAATAAATACTCTACCAAAATATACAGCAATTAGAGGAAATAGTAAAGCTTGTATGCATAAAATATAATCCTCAATTCGTTATTTAAAATACATTCCCAAAACGAATTGTTGGTTTTTTTATTTTGATAATAATAATTTGAACTGTGAACTGATCTCTAAATTTAGAACTATTTTACAAATAAAAAAAATGAACTTGAATGAAATGAAAAAGGGAACTAATAAATATATCCACTTTTAGTTGTCAATTATGAATGTGGGTGTGGTTGTAGAGCAGCGGTAGTATTAGTCATGAATATGCTCGAATCTAAAATATTATAAGACTTTTGATTTATTTAGTTTTTTTATACAATAATACTCAGATGATTTCTCATATGTTCCATTCATTTTTAGTAATGATCAATTGTCTTTTATATCTTTAAACACACTTTTTTTCTGTCGCAACAAGATGTGATATAAAAAAATCTCCTGTAAAAACTATATGATTTTTGAATGTAATTAGTAAAGAGTGACAAATTATGGAAACGAAATATTAAAAAAACCATCATGATGGTTTAGTAGTAAACACAACTATGTATCAATATACTGATCGAATATCTATATAAAGGAGTGTTCTCATCAACAAAGACAAAATATTCGTTTAATTTTCTCTTATGGAAGGATTTTGTATTACTCTCCGATCGTATTGCTTCAGATATATTTACGAAAAATATGAAATTGTACTATCGATTTATAAAACTCCATCAAATGTTAAACAATATATTTATTAACGAATATTTACAGACGTCATATTCGTTGTTCTATATATATATATATATATATATCCTAAATTCTGTTTCATATCTATAGCATAAAACAAAGTTTAAAAGAAACATAAATAATTTGCTGCAAAATACATCAGAAATTAATAAAAATCTTCAATTTTATGAATTGGATTGTGTTTTTTTCCAGGAAAAGATAAGATCGTGAAAAGGGTGTGGGTGTCAACGTGATTATCTACGCTTCCGATCCACAAGCGCATTCACACCCACACACTATAATTTATATACTCTCTTTATACAATGGATTCTTTTCGTTTCCTTCATTTATTGTTATCTTCTTTATACAATGGATTTTTTTCGTTTCTTTTGTTTTTACAGTGATAACTCTTGCCATCACATCTTATTGCGACAAAGATACACAAACATACAAAACGACACATTGAAACTCTTCTCCTGCTACAAATGGCGACGTCGTTCGCACGACTCTGTGTTATATGCAATAAGGCAGCTGGTCTATACGATTGCCGAGAATGTCAACGAACATTTTGCAAGAAACATGTGACTGAACACAACATAGAATTATCGAAACAAATGGATGATGTCATTTATCATCACGATCTTCTTCAACAACAACTCAATGAACAAGATACAGCGTTAAGCCAGCATCCATTAATGATGGAAATTAACAACTGGGAACGTGAGAGTGTAGAGAAGATAAGACATGCGGCAGAAAAAGCTCGATGTGATCTTGATCAGTTGTTGACCAGTAAAAAGAAATTAGTTACAAAGGAACTAGAAGGAATTTCGACTCAATTGAAGACAAGTAAAGAAGCCGATGATTACTCAGAAAAGGATTTAACTGGATGGCTACAGGCACTAGAAAAGTTGAAAAATCAGTTATCAACACCTTCAGATGTAAAATTACAAAAAATAAAGGACGATACATGGTTGCAACAGCGTGGAATCATGGAAGTTCTTTTTAATTCATCAGAAAAATTTGAGAAAGCATGTGGCAATGCTCATATATTGGAAAACGGTCTCGTTGCAGAACATAATGGAATAGCTGGTCATGCTGAAGTTCGAGGTTTCACGAAGTACTCAACGGGAACTCACAAAATCGGTTTGAAAATCGAAAAAATGACGGATAATAATTGGATGTTTTGGGGAATTATATCACAAAAAACTGCAGCCCAAAATAACTCTTGGTCTTCAGTGTCAGCCAACGGATGGGCCAACACTAAGCAAGTGTATTTAAATGGTGCATGTAAAAATGGATACAATAACTACCAGGGTGGTATTGTTGAAAACGATATACTTTACTTGACATTAAATTGTGATAGTCAAATTATTGAATTTGAAAACGAACGTACGAAGCAAAATAATTCTATTCCCATTGACTTGAATAGCTGTCCATTTCCTTGGCAGTTTCATATTAATTTTTATTACAATAATGATCGTCTTCGTATACTAACATAGGAAATAAAGAGCGAATCGAATGGGATTTTATTGATTCGAGTTCAGTTTGTTTCGCTTTTCTTAAACACAGTTCGATTTATTTCGCTTTAGTATTCTCTACTGATTAAAAATAGACTGAATTGCTTTTCATTTGTAAGTAGCGACTATCAGAAATGGAACTAGTATCAACGTGGGTATGAGTGTGGTTGTCGGTATATCTACTCTGCAGTTACACTCAATCTTCATGCATATCCACAATTCTGTAAAACAAAATATGAATTATAACTAAGAGCGTATAACTGCACAATCGGCTGATGTGAGCTAAAAGAGTTTTCTGATTCTTGACAATCTCTGTTTTTTAGAAAACCTAGTTTCTAATTCACTTTTCGAATTTCAGCAAGATCTTGATATTGTATCCAAAATGTATATTTCTATGTGAAGATCATACAAGCCAAATGAAATGAAGCAACATTACTGTTTTTACTCGGAGAGTACTTTTTGTGTATAATCTTTATATAGCAAGTAGTGATTATTCTCTGTAGACTTCAGCTCGCAAAATAGAAAATTGAAAAATAAATTTCTCAGTACTTGGGCCAAAACTTTTATATAATGTGGTGATATCTCTACAGTTTCAACTCCGTGGGCACTAACGTAAAATGTATCGCATGTGGCAGAACAAAATATGATGTAATTATGTATGGCTCAGGTAATATATATGGTGCAATGCAAGGATAACAAAAGCATTTTCTTTTTCTTCATTGTCATTAGCACTACCACACCCACACCCACATCCACCCTCAATTATATTATGACATTAAACAAATGGCAGCACCTACTGGAAATAAAAATATAGGAATGAAAATTGGATTTGGAATTAATTGTGATATAAATCCAACAACTAAAGTTGTACGGAATACGGAGCATGAGATGTTCCGTGTAGCACGTTATAATTTAAGAAATCATTTAGTTGAAGAAGTAAAACGATCATCATCAGTAATTGATTTCCAATGGAACAGTCATGCAATCAAGGCTGACTATGATAAAATTACAAATAAAGTCACAGTTGAATTGCAAGATGGAAGAAGAGACGAGTGCAATTTATTAATTGGTGAGTATTTCGTTGGTATCGTGGAATTTTTTTCGAGTCTATTCATACTATTCAGTCTCTTTTAGCTTAGTAATTATCGGACAATACTTGATCGACTATGTTAAATGCGAATATCACAGTGAGATAGGCTGTTAGGTCTCATCAGATTGATATCTAGAAACTAAATTCCTGGATCGTAAAGGTTCGTCGAGTTCTTAAAAGTTGTTAAGCAGTTTAAACAAAAGAACCAGGTAATCCACCGTAACACAGAGTTAAAAAAAGGGAAGATCTTTTCATATTGATGTTCTTTGACGTAGATTACAAACAAACTTTCTCTTTTAAATTATAGTTGCTGATGCTATGCATTCGTCCGTTCGTCGTTACATGTTTCCTGAAATAAAACTAAATTTTCATAAACCTATTCTTTTAACCAGTATAACTCCGCTGAATGAAGGCGAATAGTTGCCAGATCAAATTTGTCCGTCACTATTTGGAACCACAGGTCAAGGTGTCAGTGTATTTCTTGCACCAATTGATGAAAAATCATTTTTCTGGTTTCTATCTTACCATTCAGAACAACCAAGATCTCCACCTTTGATAGGTAGTGCCATGAATAAAGATGAACAAGAAAATCTAATCAATGAAATTGTAGCACGTTCAATGAATTGTCTCAGTAACGAATTTCGTTCATTTGTTAAAAGATGTGATCGACAACGTTTGCTGATCATTAATTGTTACGATAAGTTTCCACATCAAAATCCAAGTGAGAAACATGTTATTTTTATCGGAGATGCGCTTCATCCAATGAGTTCAATGGGAGGAAATAGTGCAAATATGGCAATCAGGGATGGCGTAGAATTTATTGAAGTTTTAATCAAAAACTATGGTACGAATAATAGTAATTTGATCGTTGTCATACAAAACGTAGTGTTAATGCAATTAAAATTAGTCATTGGAATATATCAACCGCTGAATCTACGGGACTGAAGTTTTATGCAAATATATTGTTAATGAAAATTTTAGTTTTTGTTATGATCAATCGAGTACTATTTAAACGCGTCTTATTTAGTTTAACAATTTGTGCTGTTGCCATTATATTTTTAATTTTTTTGTAAAAGTTTTTCAATTTAAAACAAAAATGAGCGTGGGTTTTAAACAATTAGTCTTATCTACCCGCGCATGCCTACCCAAACCTATTATAATAGACGGATGAATCATAACTGAAATACAATATTCAGTATTCTTTCTTCAAACGACAGGTAAAGAATATTTTTATCAGCATGTATTTATTACAAGTAAATATTATCTCTTCTTTTTTTTCTAATCTTTTACACATACTTTAACAAATGAAATCATAGATGAATCATTTATAAGTATAAGAGCCCTTAGCAACTAACGAAATTGTATATCATTACATATAGCTCGACAATGCAAAAAAAATTATTATTAATATTAATCTTCTTCTTTCATGAAGAATCTATAGCAACTAACACTGATCACTGTATATTCAATTCAACAACTCATGATCTTCCATTGACATGGTCTTTTTCAACGATTGATCAAGTTAAACTTTGTTTCGACAACATTCCAGTAAATAACTTGACTATAAACGAAACAATGAAACAATTATTTAATTCATTAGAATTTTATAGTTTCTTAAGTATAATTCGTCAAAGTAATCAACCTTATTTTACAAATGTTAATCTTCACAATGAATTATTAAGTATTCTTCATCAATCAAATATGAATATGTACAAAAATGATTATGATTTTCATATGACAATAGTAACATGTTTTAAAAAATTAAAAGATTTTCATACAAAATATTTTGCACCAAATGGATATTCCAAATTCGAATTATTATTACCATTTATTCTAGAATTTTTACCATCGACAACACAAATAAAAATTAAATTAGGAATTCATTTGTATTCTTCTATTATTGGAAATAAATTAAATATGAATTATACAGATAAAATCATTACAAAAATTGATGGTATTGATACATTAGAATATATGAATCATTTTGCTGAACATTATTCATTTATGAGTAAAGATAAAAATGTAAGATTAAATTCAGTATTTCGAAAAGAATTTTGGTTACGAAATCTTGGACAATATCCATTACCATTGAAAAATAATATTACATTTACATTTTTTGATCAAAATACTGAAACAACAGTTACATTTCCTTATCTAATTATAATTACGAAAAAATTTGATAATCAAATTAGTTTAGAAAATGAAAATCGTTTTTCTTCGTCATTACCATCTGAAACAGAAAATGTTTTTAATTATATAATTGATTTCGAAAAATTAAATTGGTATAAAAATAATCATAGCAATAACTTTGAGTTGATAATGGGTAATAATGATAGTTATTATTATATTCATAAGTCAACACAAACTGCAATTATTAAATTAGAATCATTTAATGAAGAAAATTTTGAAGATATAAAGAAAATATTTTTAGCGGCCAAAGGAAATACATTAATACTCGATTTAATAGGAAATCATGGTGGTCATAGTTGTTTAGCTTATGGTTTATTAAATTATTTAGTTCCGGAATATTCGTCACTTCATCTCTTGTATGAACCAGTGGATGGTAGAACAACAAAATCATTACGTTTATTTTCAAAAATATTTAGTTTTTATCCAAATTCAATATTAAATATTCAAACTGGTTTATCATTTACAAATATGAGTTGGATTGAACCTGCTTTTAATTATACAAGAGGTAATTCTACAGATGAATATTCAATGCGTTGGTCTATTAATTGTGATGGTGAAGCATTTGGTATGGGAAAATTTTGGATTAAAAATAATGAAAGGAAATATTTTCAATCAATTTATGTTTTAACAGATGGAACTTGTGGTAGTGCATGTAGTTTATTTTTATCGAAATTAAAATTTGCTTCGAATTTCAAAACAATTTATGGTATTGGTGGAGGATATAATGATAATGATTTATTTGAAAGTTCAAGTTATGCAGGTGGTGGAGCATTTCAGTGGAATGATATTGTTACATATCATAATCAATTTAGTACGAATGATTCATTCATTAATCATTTACCAACAAGTGCTCAGCTGAATTTAAATGTATATGAAATATATATTAATGCATTAAGTAGTGACTATCCAAGAGAATTTTTGAAACAACCGATTGATAAAAGATTATTAATTGCAGATTATTTTAATAGTCAACAATCTTTAGAAATGATAATCGATGATTATACTCGTTCGAATAGTCAAACTTTAACTGTTAATAGTTCCTTTAAGATAATCATCTTCAATGTATTTTTGAGAATTGTATTTATGAAATTTTCAAATTCGATGTTATGTTGACGAAAATAGAATGTGTGGGTGTAGTTAAAAAGAACACGATACTTACACTCGTACTCGCATTTCAGGCAGTTCTTGAAGATATTGCTGATCTCATTTGCTTTTCTTCTAAATATTTGCACTATATCGAATAAATACCACTAAAAACATTCTCTTTTTTTTTATATTAAATACAAACCAAAATTATATCTGAAATTATATTTAAAAGCAATAGTTTTGTCGAATCTTCAAAATAATAATACTTTTGTATCTGTGAAAGTTTTATAATAATTATTATACTATTTTTGAATAATCCTTTATGATATGATAAAATATCATGTTACAAAAAAGAAATTCAAAGTTGTTGAATGTAACCATCTCTTCAGTATCGTCGGATAGTGTTTCAACGTAAATATATTTAAAGATCAGTCGTATTTTGAAGAAAATCAAGATCAAGATATTAGAATTAGAGATAGAATGCCTAAGCACAATGCTCTGACTAACATAAAAACGTGTTTTTTAAGGGAAATGCAGAATTTCCTGATAGAAAAAATATCTATATGAAATGTATTTATAAATGTATGAAGTTCTGCTGTGACTCCTGTTAATCACGAAACTAATGTTAAAAGAATACTGCAGTAGCAGAACATATTAACAATATACAAATCAACAAAAGTAAGCGTGTTAATCACTTCATATATTTCTGAAGTGATATTAATAACACTTTAATTATTAACATCATCTACTTACAAAGATTGCTTCTCTTTATTTCTTACTGAAGTTCGTTGAATCTCAGTTTATCACACGTACTTAACTCGTACATATTTAATAAATCTTGCACAAACAAATATTTTATCCTAGCAGGTTTTCTCCTAGAATACATTGTATTTCCTTTGAAAAGCGCTAATCTTGATATTTGATTAAGTAATCAACGCATAAAATGTTGTTTCTGCAGTTATTTGCTTCAACATCCGACTTAGAAAAATATTATATTCATAGATAATAACAACTCACATCTGACGATACTTTTTACAAAATTAATCGTAAATGAGCGAGCTAGTTAATTTATTTTATCAATATGTTTTTTCTTCTTTTGCGAATATTTCAACCTAAACAGATTATTCGAAAGAAGATAACTTTCTAGTATTTTCACATTCTCAATAGTAATAAATCTAAATTTTATTTCGATATAGGTTAGTTTTAATTGACCAGATTGGTTACTGAGAAAAGCCAGACGTTAGTCGTAGTAGAGCTTCACAGTAAGAAAACTGATATCGAAAGAATAGTGAAATAAATAGGTTATCATTTTGCCAATTCGATTCCTATTCAGTGGAAATTTGTAAATAACAAAATTGTTTTTTGTAGATTTTACTTTGTGGAAGTATTGAAATTTTGGTGAAACCATAACTATGTCAAGAAACAGAGTGGATATTTACGATGTAATCTATTTAGATTAAGAAAAATATCACACCATAATTTTCTTCTTTTCTTGGCTATTTTAGGATGCACCTGCAGTTAATGCTGATCCAACACAACCATCAACATTGTATGTATATGATCAGTTACACTAGATGATAAAAAAAAGGATCTTTTCTTCTAGACCTGAACATTTTCGCAGAAGAAAATTAATACGAATCGATGTTTCTATTCTTATTTTTATGTTAATCATGACTGGTATAATCGTAGTTATTGTTAAGAAAAAAACAGAGGATAAAACTACATCAATAACAGAAGGATCGACCGTTGAATTAACAATAATAACGACCGAACCATTGACAACAAAAATAATCATTTCAGAGACGATCGAAACCACAATGCAAGGTATAGTCCTATTACTGAAACAAATTATTTATTTATAAATTGTTTCAAAATCGATTGCGTGCTTTTCATTTGACGCTACAATATGTTTCAGCTATTTTTCCTAAGCTAGCACTTGCACTGATTTTTGTCAGTAAGAATTTTTTTTATTCAAAATGATATTAGAGATAGAACAAGAACTTTGAGTGCTCCTTAGACTGATCAACAATAAGTAGAAAGGTTATTGCTAATATCTGATCTAATTCTTAACTCAAAACAGATCGCACAAAGAGTGCACGTGATTGAGTAAAGTTTCGTCCGTCAATAGTCTACTGTTTTTCAACAAATCATCATTCACTGCATCGTGCTCTCTGTTCATAAATATCTCTGGAATAAAGGCGCGACGGCACCAATCCTTTTTGAGTTTCTCATATCTCATGGATATCTACCAATCACCACAAGCTCAGGTCTAAAGACCTTAAGCACCTTGATATATTCTCTCGTTAGATATTTTATTTGCATAATGACATAAAATAGTTTAATCTTCGATAATCAATCGTCATACATCGTACTTCTATAGAATAATAATATTGAAAGGCTCAATGAAAGATAAATGACAATGCAGTATCGAATTTCTAGTTCAATCATGTCACCACTTTGGTAATCTATATGTAGTAATATTGAAACTTTATGTTGAATAAAATAAATTGAAATATTTTTTAAATATTTTTTAGAACAATTATTTACTTCTGTTACTATTAATAGTAATATGAAATGGAAACAGAATGCATCTACTGTTGCTGGAGGACATGGGCGAGGAAGTGCATTAAATCAATTAAATAGTCCTAGTGGCATTTATGTTGATGATGATGATAATCATAGTATTTACATCGCTGAACGCGAAAACCATCGTATTGTTAGATGGGAATTCGGTACAGATGTTGGTGAAATAGTGGCAGGTGGAAATGGACCGGGATATGCAATAAATCAATTGAGAACTCCAACGGATGTAGTTCTTGATAAAGAGAAGAAATATCTCATTATTTGTGATTATCACAACATACGAGTCATGCGATGGTCTCTTCAAAATAGTCAGAATCAACAAATATTGATATCTGGTATGCTTTGCTGTGGTTTAGCAATCGATAATAATGGAACTCTTTATATTACTGACGGTTTAAAACATAGAGTCAGCCGTTGGCAAGAAGGAGATACAGAAGGTACACTTGTAGCAGGTGGAAATAATGAAGGAAACCATTTTAATCAACTCAATCTACCTAACTTTATCTTTGTCGATGAATACCATTCAGTTTATATAGCGGATTATATGAATAATCGTGTGATGAAATGGATGAAAACTGCAATTGAAGGCACTCTTGCTGCTCCAGGACAAGTTGCTGGAGAAAATCCAAATTCTTTATGTGGACCGGAGGGTGTGATTGTTGATCATATGGGTAATATTTACGTGTCGAACGGTGGAAGTCATCAAATAAAACGTTGGTCTCCAGGTGCAATAGAAGGTGTTCCTGTCGTTGGTGAAAAAGAACGTGGAAACAAATCCACACAGCTCATAAATCCTGGAGATTTATCATTTGATCGAGAGGGTAATCTTTATGTTGTCGATAGAATCAACCATCGAATACAAAAGTTTGCTATTGATCTTGACTAAAACAGTTTTTGATGACGAAATCAAATTTGATAAATAATTCTTTTTTGCCATTTTTAAAATATTTTTTATTGATAACGAATAAAGTTCATTGAAAATATCAATAATCTAAGGTGTGGTGTGGGCGTAGATGAGGGCATGGATGTGGGTGTGAGGTAAGAACAATATTCACACATACATCCATACCCACACCTACAATACACACTTACTCCCATACCCTATATTCTTCAATGGCAGTCGATAGCTACTTGATATCTATAATATCGTACAGTAAATATTAAAATAGTATTATTCACGCAATCATTATTGCTCTATCTTTCTATATCACAATAAGAATATAGATGATTAGAATCTGAAGAAGAATAAAAGAAATGTTTACTTATCAGAAATAAACATTTATCTTGCAGTTGTGTATGTTATATTCAAACTTTGAAAGAATATTTCTCCTATTTTTCTTCGATAAAATATTAGAAGAAAGAAAAGACGTGTAGTTAGCTTAGTTTTTCTAATATAATGATGGGGATGCTGTTTTCTATTCACAAAAGAAGTTAGTTGCTTGTTTCCATCATTGTTTTATTCAGATGCAATTCTCTTTTTGTGAAACAACGTAGTTTATATTATTATGATTGTAATAGAGTCTACATGATTTTACAAGCTCTCTATTTCTTGTTCTGTATACATAAAACATCACCGCAACATACAATAAATAAAAGAAAAGTAAGGCAAACATTCACTCGAGGTTAAAGAAAAAAGTACACTAGAATGTATTGTTATGATAAATCAATATTTAACTAACTTTGAAATATTAAAAATACTGTTTATTTTAATTTATCTAATAAATAGGATGTTAACACTATGCTACATAAATATAACGCTCAATTCTTTGGATCGTTTTGAGATTGATGAAGAAAAATATGATTATTTATTTAATTACAAATTATAATCAATCAAAAATGAAAGAATAATAAAAAGACAGATTTTCGATATGTTGTTATACTTTGTGTTATAGAAACTTAGGTCGAGTGTGTTTGATTTTCAAGAAGTATTCAGTTTTTTGTCTAATACAACTACTCATCTGCTCATTCTTCGTTTAGATATTAAAGATTGACTTTTGCTCTATATAAATGATGTGACAGTTCATTGATATATTGCATAGTCTATGAGATACATGTGAATTATTCAGATTTGAATATATAAATAATAATTTTCAATTGAATTATTTTAATTTTTACAGAAAACTTCGTCTTCAGCTAAATGTTGATTATATTTTCTTTTCGAATTCCATTTTGTTACACTGATCGTCCTTTGTGTTTTTCATCTTTTATATAAGTCAAAAAGTGCTATTTATAAATATATTTATACTCAAATAACATTTAAATACGTAAGAAAATCATTTTTTTTTTGAGAATAAAAAAAGTCCGGACTAGTTTCGTTGATTAAATTGATGAAATGAATTCTAGGAAAAAGACGTCAGGACTGTTTCTCCGTTAGATTGAAAAAATAAATCCTGACAAAAAAAACTATGCACTACCCACTCAAAAGAGACGGAAAAAAAGAATTTATTGCTCTATAAATACTTTGTCTACTATTATAAATTGAATTCATTTCATCAACTTAGAATCTGGTGTTTGATGGCTTCAACAAGAGTTTATTTATGGATTTCATTCATGATTATCACACAAACAGTTGGAGAAGATATACGATCAGAGCAAATGTCTTTAATACGCGATTCTAAATTTCAATGTGCGAATACAACTTGTTTACCATTCATTAGCGTTATTACAACAGACATTAGGAATTGTCAATTTGCCTGTTTAGGTCAAAGTCAATGCACATCAGCAACTTTTCATCGATCAACTTCAAATTGTGAATTACTTGATAATATGTTAAACCAAAATGGAAATATGTTGGCTGATGTGGATGCTACTAGTATGAATGTTATTAGTGAAACACGATTTCCACCAGGTCAGTATAAAATTAGCACAGGTTTAACAGAAAATATATTGGTCAGACAGAAAAAGTATTTTCTTCTTGAAAAATAGTTTTAAGTTATCGAGAGCAAGGACAACTTGGCAGAGATATTGGATAGATCTGTGTGTAAATCACAGATCGATTCGACTCAGAATTACAGAAAACAAAATTCAGCCAAACCCTTTTCGAAAGCAATTCTTTTTGAACTAAACGGTCTGTTTCCAGATCTATTTTTTAAACTCGACTTTGAAAATATCTTAGTAAAACGAAATCTCTCTGACACTTGAAACTAAATAATCAATACCATCGAATATTAAAAGAATAATGAAGAAAAAATGAGATAATTATTCCATGAAAAATGTCTATAGATATTATGCTTTCATAGTCATAAATCTATACAAAATATCGGTATGTATGAAAGGAATTTCCATCGGAATTTCATAGAAATATAACGCCTCGAACAGATTCTTAGGAAATAAATAAGAAATTACAGGTTGTTTTTATTAAGATGATGATTACAAGTAGTTTAAGGTTAGTATTGCACCTCGCTAAATCATGCAGAAAAACTGAATGTAAACTGGAAATCTGTCACTTCTAAATATTATCGAAATATGTCATGTGAAATTTTCCTGTCTCAGCAAGAATCTCTTAACGGTAAAAACTAGATCCACTGTAATAATGAAGAATTCTGAAAAGAAAATCATAAATTAGACCAATCTAAGTTGATTCGATTTTATGATCTTGCCTCAATCTGTGTGATTCGAAACGTTTTTTTATTATTGAACTTATTAAGAAATGTAAATTGAGTTGTCAAAATTATTATGAGAGTAATATATTTAAAGTAAATATCGTAGAATTACAGTTATAAGGGAAATCATTTAAATATTTTCTAATTTATTATAATCAACGCATATTTAACGTGGATATGTTGTTACAGAAAAAGAAACAAATCTTATGCAATCATTTAGTCTCACTCTAAAATCATTTTTCAAAATAGAACTGACTACGACAACGTCAACAACATCATCAACGACAACAACAACAACAACAACAACAACAAAAACAACAACAACATCATCAACGACAAAAACAACAACAACATCATCAACGACAAAAACAACAACAACAACAACAACAACAACGACCACAACAGCAATACCAGGTCAGTACTATATTAAATGATTTCTAGTATCTCAAACGATTATTACTAGAAATAACGATATCTCAAAGTTTTGGCTTTACCTATTGAATGATAGTCATTTAGATACACAAGATCAGGGAACATTTCCTATCAGAAGTCTAGATAAGACCAACCTTTGAGGGTATGGGTGTGGGTGTGTAAGAAAAAGAGACACCCACCCACAGTTACACCCACACCCACCCTCAAGATGAGTGCGGGTGTCTCTTTTCATCGTCAACCCACACAAACCCTCGCCACTGTCATCCATGGGATTCAGGGCCGTAAAATAAGGTAGAAGAAGGAGCCAATAGGGAGAAGAGAAAAACCGAGAAGTTGAGATGTCAGAACAAGAACTAAGAAGAGCGAGCAGGGGAGTTCTACTTCGATGGCGAGAGTGTCGTCGAACAGCGTATTCACAGGGTGGTTTTCATTCATGTATTGGCACATTCATTCCAGACCGCTGATTTCTAGCCCACACCAACCATGTATAAGTTAAATAGAATCAGATATTCCGTTGTAGCGTGGTCAAACACTGGTGGCATGAATAGTGCACGAAAAGTTCATACGGCATCGGTATTATCAAATGGGACAGTGTTAGTTAGTGGTGGTCAGAATAGTGGTGGCTATTTAAGCAGTACGGAGTTGTATGATCCATCAACAGGAGTTTGGAGGTCTACTGGTAGCATGACTAGCACACGAGTATTTCATAAAGCATCGGTATTATCAAATGGGACAGTGTTAGTTAGTGGTGGTGATAATGGTGGTGGAGCTGTAAATAGTGCGGAGTTGTATGACCCATCAACAGGAGTTTGGAGGTCTACTGGTAGTATGAATATTGCACGATCTTGGCACACAGCATCGATATTATCAAATGGGACAGTGTTAGTTAGTGGTGGTCAGAATAATGGTGGCTCTTTAAATAGTACGGAGTTGTATGA